TTGCTATAACATCGCTAACAATGCCCCTCAAACAACGGCGTGAAAACTTAAAAAATTAGCTAGAAAATAAAGCGAATGAGTCAATAACACGAATTTCTAAAGAATCTAGAATAGAAATTTCGAGTAAAAGAGAGCATTCACAGAAGAAATTCTACGTTCTTTGGCAACGCTAGTGACAAAATGTAGACAAGGTATGTTTTAACGAGAAGTTGATTTCACACAATATAAGACACTTTTAAATGGCAAGCCAATCGATTTAATGAATTGATTGTGTCAAACAATCTTTTATAATGAAAGTGCCTATGCACGAGAACCGAAAGTAGCTTTTAACAATTTATTACGCAAGGGAATTGGTTTATTTGGTCGCACTGATTTTTTTTGTCTTCCTTGTTTTAGGTAATAGACTGAAGCCGATTATAATTTAGATAAATTTCCACTTGATACAGTTTCATTTAAAAGCCATCAATCGATATTGTAAAAGCCACATTCGTTTCATACCGTTTTAATCAAATGAAAACCAACCAGTTGCATCATTTACTTCATTAGCAAATTGATTTTTTCAAGCTCTGGAACATAAAACAATCCACTCTCTTGGTTAACGTGCAATAATAATAAATTACTTTTTCGAAGCCCCTGCAGCTCGCTAGACTTTAAATCTTTAAACAGTCTACCGGTTGGTTGACATGCAAACATATTGTCGAATGAAAATTTTTCGTGACATGCAAGTTTTAATTTAAATCGTTTCCAAAGGAGGAAAATCTGATGGCTGAACTGTTAAAATTGAATGTTACTGGACGGCGAACCTCAGAGGTCGCATATTTAAGAAGGAAGTTCTGTCGTTGCTTTTTCTACTGCACGAACATGATTCAAATTGCTGATAAGCCCTCAATTTTTCCGAAGTTTAATGGAATAGAATCAACAGCACACAAAGCAAATGCATAACTCGATTTTATTTTAATCTTGATAATCTACATTTTAAGAAATCAAAAACACTTCAACACAACTTGCGTATGTGATGGCAATGGGTAAAATAATATACCTTGGTAGTCTAATGGCGTGTTTTCAACGGGAAAATTAGAATAAAAGAAAATAATCTACAGAAATGATTAACATCTTTCAAAGTACATTGAAAGTTAGAGAAATGCGCCATTAAAATTTGTACACTTGGTATTTTTATTTTGTTTGGATTCCATATTTTGTTTAGATTTTTTCAACAACTAGTTCAGGCATTGTTTTTTATTTTAATTAGGACAGACCATAACAAAAATTGCCCCCAACCTGATCAACACTTCCATAAAGACACTTCTTCATTATCAAGCGCAAACAAATTTTAAAAAATCATAAAACAATCTTTAATTTTTATAATCTTGCCATTAAAATTTTGAGAGTTCGTTCCGAAGATTTAATAGAGTAATTAGCAGAAGTTACTTGAATATTTTTTGCTGAACTATCTAATGGACTTTCAGACAGTCTACGGAACATCTCCAGTTAATTTAGTTGTTTCAAAGTCAATCAGGATCAACACAATCAATATTCATTAATGACAGTAACGTAATGATCGTTAATGTGAGGAATTTGCTTATTAGTAACGAGCAAATTTAAATGAAAAATAAATGTAATTATTAAATTTAAAAATTTATCATCTCAGTTAATTTACCAAATGATTAATGAAAATTCCGGAAGCAATGTGCTAAACATATCACGACTTAATTATGTTCTGATACTGCGAGCATTAAATCAATCATTTGAATCTTACTCAGTATTTATAAAAATATTTACTTAACCATAAATGCACCATTCGCATAATATAATCAAGCAATTAAAAAATCATAAGGCATTGCTGAGACGCATAAAGCAATTATTTGATACTTCGCGAGTAGTTATAGATGTCCATAGTGGGTGGTATAATAATGAATATTTAAGAGCGCAAATTGTTCGACTTAGTCTTAACCATTGTCTTGGATAATTTGATAGCATGTCGGAATTATTTAGCTCGAACAGAAATATGGAATTAATTAATAAATTAACAATGTTATCTATCAATTAACACCTCTAGTTGAAAGTTCTAATATGCGAAAAGATGATTTATAAACTTGTACTAAATGGATGCTCAACACGAAACAATATACTGCAGAATATATCCTAATTTTTGTTTAGTATCTGTATTCAGTGCGAAAATCTAAAATAAACTCAAATAAAGGACTATGTTTATTTTTGGTTTACTTTCTTCGGTATTGGATCATTAAAATATTTTCATTTGCAAACGGTCTTTAACAATCTTACATCTGTTGGGACATTCTCATTTGAAGGGCAGGATAATCACGTTGTGCAGAGATTGAATTACGCAATTAAATGAAATTACAGGAATTAGGAATTTTCTTATTATGGAACAGTTTGATTGGGAAAATGAGACTGTATTTCCTCTTCCGTTTAAACAAGCTCTGTAATTTTTATGTCAATTTCGAGATTCCAAAAATTCTTGCAACTTCCAACGAGCATTTATTACATTAAAAAAACGAATTAAATATAACTTTATTCGCCGTTCAAATGCTAAATGGAGCGTTACTAAGATATTACGACACGTCACAGTGTCTGAAGGCACATATTATTAATTTATGCAAGCTGAAACTAGCTGAATCCATTGGAACAAACCTTCTTTTTTCAACAGAAGTATTACCAGTTTCAAATACCTGAAACAGCAAATATGTGTAGCTGAGACTGTAATCAATAAATTGCTTTAATCTTACCATATCGTTGAAACGCAAGTTGTATCCAAGCTCAAAGATTATGATTATTGCTTTAGCACTATACCTATATTGCTCTACGGCATTAAAAGCCGACATGATTTAATTTAGTACATACAGTCGAAAGACACTTGTATTCTAAATGGTATTTATAGTCGAAACGGCTAGAAATGCAAACAAATAGAGATTTCACATGAAGATACAAAGGAATTCGTGAGTGAGACTGTGGCCATTTAGCGCTCCAGTAGAGATGTATTCAACAAATGTTCAACGATATTTGTTTCGATATTTTCAAGAAGAACGTGTATAAAAAAACATAAAAAAATCGGTTTTATTGCACCTCATATTCATGCCTATTGATTAGGTTTAGGACACAGATAATAATCTAGGGAATAAATGATTGAGAGACGGTTTTTCGTCTTTTGGTTAGCAAAACCTTTAATAGAGTTAGTTTAGAGTACCAATTATTATTTTTTCTTTCGTTTGACTGTGATTAGAATCAATCGTTTAAGTAAACAATTGCAAATTACGAAATTTAAGTTTTTTGATACACTTTTTTATTCCACGGTTTTTTTTATTGCAACTTATAAATTATATTGGTAGATACTATTAAGACGATCATAAGCAAAGTTCGTCCGTGAGACTTAACACTTAACCAGCTGTTGTCTTAGACAAAAAACCTTAATAATAAACATGCAAACAAACAAAACCAATGACGTTTAGTCAACAAAAATAATCTGTCTCACACTGAGCAGATTACAAGTATGAGGCTTATTTTTAATACCTACTTGTATATTTGTTCCTACATAAAAAAAATGTTTTTTTTTGTTTCTTGTGAAGCAGAAATATCGGTGGCACTTACGTTACTCATGAAAGTGTGGTGACTTTTTTTAGGTGTTGAAATTTAGTTTTTATTATGTAAAAACGCAATTTATAGTACGACGGAGTGAGACGCGACGAGTTACAACTCATTAACGCACAGAGCTACTCAACACAGTGTTACTCATGCCTACTTAGATCTGTTCCTGCTTTCTTTGCAATAGATTGTTCAAATTCGATCAGTAGACAATGTCTACATTCGTATAACTGAAGAGCAAGATAGTAGGTACTGTAGAATACGGATTTGAAAAATAATTTAGAGATAGAGAATAATTCATGTAGCAGGAAGACTATAACGATCCTCAAAAGAGTTTCGAAAATTAACATTTAGCGGTTGCGCGGGGGAAAAATTGCTAAATTGGTTAAAACTTTGATACTGTCAAGCTTATAATTGATAACTGATCAGAAATGCGTTCAGGATTCACCCTTAAAAGTACCTACTCAACTCATAAAAACGTTCTTTAGATTTTAATGACTATTCAATGATTAGCAGAGTACCTAGTGTTTAATTCATTCAATTATCGAATATCTAAACAGAGCAAGATTCTGGTCGATTCCCCTTAAAACATCTCTATTATCCGTTACTCGTTCGTCAGAGGATTGAACTCATACTTGCGCCGATGTTTTGACCCCGGTTAAATTCCTCTTGTTATTGCTTCTTCTGTCTTTATGCTGCTCAAATCTTAAATTAAGTTTGAAGCAAATTACGTAAAGTACTAGAAACGATTTCCGACAGGGCAAACGGCAAACCGTCCCCTGGAAGTTAATAGGCATTGATTGATGGTCGGATTTTCAAACAACCATGTTATTTTATCAATTTTAGTAAATTATTTGTGAAATAAGTATTTTGCCTTTTTCTAGATCGTCCGAACCTTTTGTATTAGTTCTTTGTTGTAAATTTACATATAGAGGCTCTATCATGTTACAGCGATGTATTTCTTGGTTCCCGTTATATTTCGGATAATTTAATCAGAGAAAATTATGAAATTATACAGAATACGAAAATATACAGAAAGACGAGTTTGTGTGCGCCATAGCAGCAAACGCACTAGTCATTTTAAATAAACTTTTTGTAGGTTCTATTCAGAATCATAATGAAAATAACACTTTTTCAAAAGTCATTTGATTTTGAGAATAATTTATTTGTAATGTCTTTAGGCGCCACTGCAGGTTTCAGCAAATAACTTCTATGGGTGGCGATCTAAATTATTCTTTAAGCAATATAAAAATATCGATTACCTGTAAACGAGATGAATATAAAATACACAAATATATAAAATCGATCTCCAAGAAAGTACTTCTCTACTGCAACAACTAACTCTGGTGTTTCAGATTCGATGTTCAGGTTTTTGTATAAGAAAGATTACAATTACTCAAAACAGTTAAAAATACTTCTCCAATTAGGATCAACCTTATCAGAAATGGTATTTGAAACAGTCTCACAAAGCTTTATTATTCAACGCGTAGGCGGATACACTGCTAAACATGGGGCTGTTAATTCAGTTCAAAAGTGCCGGATCAGGTGGCTCATTTTCGCTCCTTTTACGTAAAAGTGCGAAAAGCTTTAAACAATTCAGAAAGCGCGTAAACCATTCTAAATCATTAAACCAGGGAAATATTATCGATATGCTTGAATTTGGTAACCGTTCTGGTGAAAAAGTTACAACATTTTTGCACGTGATATTTTTGGTTTATTTCACTACTTAATGATGACAATAAAAATTAATTCAATGATTTAATGATTATTCAGAAATGTTCAGTGTTAAGAGAATTATACGCCAATATTCGTGTTAACAAAGATCGTAAAAAATGTCCGTGTTGAAGGCAATAAATTAATATTCTATGGGCCGCGATCGTGTAGAAAAATGCAATAAATAATCAAAGCACAGTTTCAGACAAAACTGACAGTTAAAACTGATTAGTAAGTTCACAGCTGTAACCATAAGACGACAGCCGAAATTGATGAGGAATTAAGGAATTAGCATAGTCAAGAATTAATAGATTGCAGGATTATACTACTGATCAAATCAGCAATATGTTTTACGGTTCAAACCTGACGATTTCCAAAACACCATTTTGGCAAATGTAAAGGATTGTAATTTGTTTCATGTTTTGTTTAAAGTCAGAAAGATTAATTTCAGGCATCTCTAAGCCCTACAAGAAACATTTGGAAAACAAGAAAAGTGAATCATTTGAATTTTTTTCTTCAGATCACATTTTCTTTGCTTTGAAATCCATTTCAATACCGTAGTGTGATCTAATTGTATTTGACGCATTTTTTTACACATTCAGTTTAATTTGTATCGTAGAATTGTCGATTTGTTTTAACTTTTTTTCATTCACTGTTAGATTTATTATTATTTATGCAATTTATGCAATGCTACAGGGAAAAAGAGTAGCCAGGGCGCTGAGAAGATTGGTAGATCAATTTCCCATAGGTTCAGTATTATTCAGTTTCTCGGTGATCTTCTAGTCCTTCCCAGTGCTGTGTGGTTTTTTGTGAATTTTTATAATCGGTCGTCCCATTCTGTTTACGTGTTTATTTTTAAATATTCCTCTTATTCTAATCCAATTTAGTACGTCGTGTATTTAAACTTACGCTTTTTTAACACCTGTAGCATCTGAGAGATGTTTTCGGTCGAACGCTTTACTCATATTCACAGATCAAAGAAAGGCGAGTCAGTAAAATTCCAGTGCATTTTCTATTATTTGTTTTGTGATAAATATTGCATCAATAGTTGGTTGACTTTCTCAAAATCATTGTGGTTTCTCTCTTAGTTTAGTCGTCGTATGTTTTTACTATAATATTTAGCATAGTGGTGAGAAGAATCTCATAAAATAATTCGGATTAATCGATTATAACGTATAAAGTATAATGAATCAATTTAATTTAATTCACATCACTTTATCATTCGAAAGTGTTTGCTTCGTATTTTCGTCTTCTTCCTCTGTGCGATACTGGTTTACCACCGTTTTCTAGTTTGTGCAGAAGTTTGTCCTTTAGCTGTTTTGCTCTCACCTCTACCTTCCCAGTAGTATTTCTCATATTTTCGTCTAAATGCCGTGGACATATCTTTGTATGCCTTTTATAAATCATTCGTCAGCTCATTTCTTTTAGTTCTCATATTTTGCTGTGATGTACAACAGGCCCAAATCTTTCTATTTTAATAAGAATTTGAATTGTGCTTGATAAAGAACGACAAAAAGTAAAGATATTTTCAAACGTACATTTAATGGGCACATTGTGACGCATATAATACAGACTGATAACAACATTACACATTTATTACATGAATTTTAAAAAATATCTTACTTAATAACTAGGTCTATACCTACGTGGAAGATCCTATCCTATCTACACACCTCGGTATATCGTGTAGGCACCTTAAATATTTAACATGAAAGCTACAAGTTGGTTTTGATTGAATCGTGTGCGATATAATTCAATATATTGTAATCGATAAACGGAATTCGCTTAAAACCATCGCTAAACATTATGAAAACCGTCAAATGTCGGTCTCGTACATAACAACAATTTATTGCAAAAGTCCCTATTATTTATTTACGAAACAGTTTTAGCAAAACGCTTACATAACGGTGTGCGATTGTAAGTGAAATTCCGTAGGTCGTGAACAATTAGAAATTGAATTGAAATTTTCTATAGAATGAAAGTCGATTGTTGTTCAATGGTTGTGCGCGTTAGTTTTAGGTTAATTGGAGGTTTCCTTATTTATACATGGGTAAATGTCTCTTTATGGCTGAGGTTCGAATCGGTTCACCAAGACCAATTTGGTGGGCAACTAAGAGTAATATGAAAGTGATGAGGAGACTACACACCACACAGCATATTTTACTATTTTTTCCAAAAACTGTTATCTGAGTAATTTATTTCAAGGTTATTTTGATTGACTTAGTTAATTATTGCTTACAAAACAGTAGTAATTAATATTTATAATTGGGCATTCTAATGACATATCATTGCCCATAATTGCACTATGATAAAGATGGCATCAAAGTTAAATAAACGGGAACCAACATTACTGCAAAAAAGCGAATCTCAAATAGCGATTATATTTTAAGATCCATTACCAGGAATTATTTTGTTTGTGGATTGAATTACAAGTTTATATCTATTATACCTATTACACTTTTTTAGACATTTTATTGTGTTTTTGTCGTTTTGTTGGTGATGACTGGACCTGATAAAGTTCCATTTTTAGCACACAAAATTCTCTGACCGAAATTATTATATTAGTTCAGTTGGAATGAAGTCTATACCTACATATCAAACTGTAACACCTTTGAAAATTGATAAAAAGTTAAAAAGTCTGACATATGATTAGTTTCTTTACGATTTTGATCAGAGGTGCATGCTACGAAACATTCTACATCAAGTTAAATACACCGACTGAATTATTGTTGCAATATTTAAGTAGGATTCGAAGATATTTCGGACAGTTTCC